TGAGAGTGGTATAGCAGAACACTTACTACAAAGAAAGTTGGCAGGAAGGAGACAAACTTGAAAAGAGTAGATTATCTGACATGCCAAACACTTTATCTTACTTGTGAATGAGAATCAACCATCCTGTCTACTTTTCTTTGGGTGAATATTCTCTTGCTGTCAGACACACATTCCAAAGAGTAAAGTCCACAGAACAAAATTTCAGTGGCATAAAGACCAAAATCAGGGGCCTCCCTGGTGGCGCAAGGGGTTAAGACACAGTGCTATGAAGCTATCTGCAGCCAACGCAGCACAAATTTGATCCCCGGCCAGGGAGGTGACCCACATGGCACAGCAGACCTCTTCTGTCTCCCCGCTGCTTCCCTCAGCAGTGTATTTCAGTACATCTGCCTGTTTTGCTCCCCCACTCTGTCTCTGAGGTGAATCCTCTCACCCACCACATCTCTGGCCTGCACCCCAGCTCTTACATGCATAAATTTATAAATCTTTAAAAATAAATAAAGACCAGAATCACTATATTGAAGCATGTTCTTCTTAGATAGGATAAATGTAAAGATCTATTAGAAATATATCCATGCTCAGACTTATTGAAATGATAAATTTATTTTTGATGTGGTAGTATTTATAATATATTCTAGTAAACCCCAAAATACAGAGAGAGCAAGAATTTCCCTAAGTAGTTAAATTTGTAATCCTAATTTACCCAGTTAACTAACGTGGCTACACCCAGTTCTGATTAAAATTTGGTTGTTCTGGTTTCAGGCAAGAAGGAGTGAAAAGTGGTACATATGTCCCAATAGAAGTTATTGTTTATACGCAAGAAGGAAAGGAAATAACTTGCAGAAGTTATCAAATGAAGAATTATGAGAGTGCTCCCCCATCACCACAGTATAAAAAGGTCTGCTACTTACAAAGACTTTGTTAATATTTTCATTGAAATAAAGAATACCTAGATTTTAAAGGTCTTTATGGTTTTAAAATTTTTTAATTTATCAGTTTTTAATACAAAACTGATAATGATTTACCTAATATGTTAATTCAAAAATGTTTAGCTTGGTATGTCATGATAAAAATATATCTCTAAAACTATTTATTAAAAATAAGCTTTTAGAAATGTATGAGTCATATATCCATAGACAAAATAGAAAACGTGTGAGTATAGTTTTAATAGATTAATGTGCTTTTGTAGTATATGTGCTTTTAGATTTTTATATGCTTTTTAGATTTATATGTGCTTTTGTAATCTAATTTTCTTCTCAAAATATTTCATAAACACCAAAATTTATTTTTATGGGAGAAAAATATATTTCTTACTACTGAAATGTTTTCCATCCCAGACGGAGAGAGAAAAGTCACACCACCTTTAAGAATCAGGGAAACTGGGCCTCCCCGGTGGCGCAGCGGTTGAGCGCTGGGTTGCAAAGCTGCCGGCGACCTCTGCGGCGCCGGTTCGATCCCCGGCTGCTCCCCGGCCACCGGAGGAGGGTCCCACATGGCGCGCAGACCTCTCCTGCCGCCCGCTGCTCCCCTCAGCAGTGTGCTTCGGGCCTTCTGCCTGCTCTGCTCCCCGCTCTGGCTCTGGTGAATTCTCTCACCCTCCCGCGCTTCTGACTGTACCCAGTGCATGTATAAACAAAACGAACGAACAAACAAACAAATAAATAAATAAAAACATGCCTCTATAAAAAAAAAAAAAAAAAAAAAGAATCAGGGAAACTACTTCCATAAGCTTGGGGAAAGAATTGAGAAAGACATCCCAACATCCCTTTGTCGAATTCAAACTAAGATACTTGCTGGCAGACCCAGTCAAGACATCGTCCAATCAAGACATATGACTAGGTGACCCAGTTTCTAGACTTAATCTGGAATATTCTAGTGTGGAGCCTATTGGAATTAACCTGGTATGGATTGGGAAGTACTGCTGAAAACAGTTGCCATTATCCCCTAATTCAGGGGAGGTGTAGACTCAGGATTAAACTGAAACTGCTCCCTGTAAATCTTGTATTTTTTTTAAAGAATGAAGTTTTCTTTTAACCAGTCACGCAAATGCTATACAATGTATTTTTGTCTTAATATAAAATAGTTTAAGTCAGAGCAAGTAAAACTGATATACCATGAGGATGCAACATGTAGTTTTGAAACCCCCTGTACCTACTCCATGTGAGAGGAATGCTGTATCTCTATTTTGTACTATACTTGCTTGTTATAGAGTTATCTGAAAGCTAATATTTCATGCTTTGATGCTAAAAATCAGGCTGTCATATACTAAGTTATGTTCCCAACTAAAAGGCTGTTTTTGCTTATTTGTTTTATCACCTCTAGGTCATCTGCATGGGAGCAAAAGAGAATGGTTTGCCGCTAGAATATCAAAAGAAGTTAAATGCAATAGAAACAAATGACTACAAAGGACAGGTCTCAGAAGAAATAGAAGACATTATCAAAAAGGGGGAAACAAAAGCTTATTAGGACTTAATAGAATCTATCTCAAGATATTTTCTCTATATGCTAATCTAAAATATTTTGAAGTTTAGAACAGAGATCTGAGATATCTCTGTGTTTAATATATTTTCAGTAACACACTAAAGGACTATCTCCCTTGAGTGATTACTTGTTTTCAGACTAGGTTAGGAGTTAGACAACTGGAAAGGGGGCCACGAGGGGCTGAAATGCATGATGATGGATGTGGGAATTCCTTCTGTAAACACGAGTTATTTTCTTGAGTTGATCTGGTGTGTTCTTGCTTTGTGACAAAGGGTAGATCACAGCTTAATGATGGTGCTGGTGAGTTGCAACAAGCAAACTGCAGATAATGTTGATGACTTTTTTTTTAATTAAAAATGTGGTATAGTATTCTTAGAGGAATAAATATATTTATGGCTTAACCTGTGTATCCTATTAATGTATTACATTTCATTTTGATAGGGTAATTCAGATCTCCACACACACTAGGTATTTTCTTGGATTTATGTAGCCTATACTTGAGCATTATTGTATAGACTCAAATTGACAGTCTAGGATCAATTATCAGTTCCACCATTTTCTTCATGTGCTGAGTTATAGCACCTGGGCCTGCTTCCTTCCCTCTAATGAGGACAGTATAACAATATTTTCGGACTATTTTGAGTAGTAAATATATGTAATAAACTTAGAACAGAGCAGACATGGAAGTATTAATAATCATTATTGTTCTTATTGAACATCTAGTTGTACAGGATCATCCTTGGGATAGGCTTTTAGAGTAGAAGAGTTAAATTTCAGAGGGAGTTAAATTTACTCTGAAAGCTATAATTTAATTCTTTTTTTTAAAGATTTATTTATTTATACAAGAGCTGGGGTACAGGCCAGAGGCACGGGAGGGTGAAAGGATTCACCAGAGATAGAACAAGGAACAGAACAGGCAGACAGACTGAAATACACTGCTGAGGGGAGCAGCAGAGGAGAGGTCTGCTGCACCACATGGGTATTTCCCTGGCTGGCCGGGAATCAAACCCACGCTGCAAAGGTTGAGGATAGCTTCACAGTGCTGCGTTCAACCCGCTGCACCACCGGGGAGGCCCCTATAATTTGATTCTTGGTTTATCAATAAATGATCACCTTAAATTTATTTACTGAATAAATTCAGATATGAAGTGTCATGAATAAAACAGTACTGGTTATCAAAAAACTCCATATGGAATACAGTGAACTACACCTTTGGAACAGATTATTGGGGGCCGCCCTGGTAAGGCATGACATGGTGCTGAATTTTTGGGTTTCCTTTTGCCTCATACATCTCAGACCTAAAGCTAAAGAAGCTAAAGAAGCCAGCAACCAATGAACGCAAAATGCAAAACAAAAGCCTACTCACTAGCCAAAGGACTAGAAAATTGACAAACTAGCGAGATAGAAAACTTAGCCAAATTGTTGACTGCTGCTCCCACCTCCACCCACTTTGGTTGAACCATTTTCCATCCCCACCAGCAGTGAATGCAACTTTTTTTTTTAAAGGACATAAGTGTAAATCTCACAAAACATGTAAGACTTATTTGCTAAAACGACAAATTTTCATCACTGATGAAAGAAGTCAAAGATCTAAATAAATAGAGAAGCATACCATGTTTAAGGGTTGGAAGGCTAGACATAGTAAGGATGCCTACTCTCTCTTCTAGAGCTTTGACATAATTCCTATCAATTCAAGAATGCTTCCTTTTAAGTTATTGCAAGTTTCCATCCTTGCAGTGCAGCATTAATAGGACAAAATCAAATCTCTATAGTGGAATTATTCAGATTGGAATAATGAGAACAATTCATAAAGAGTCAATATTTCATTATCTAATCAAAAGTATTTAAAAAATAATCACTCATCGGGCCTCCCTGGTGGCACAAGGGGTTAAGATGCAACCTAAGATGCTGTCCGCAGCTACTGCAGCAGGAATTCGATCCCCTGGCCAGGGAGCTACTACATGGCATAGCAGACCTCTCTTGACTCGCCAGCTGCTCCCCTCAGCAGTGTATTTCAGTCAATCTGCCTGTTCTGTTCCCCACTGCCTCTGGCGAATTCTCTCACCCCCTGCACATCTGTCCTGTACCCCAGTTCTTGTATGTATAAATAAATAAATATTTAAAAAAAATAAAAATCACTCATAGATTCCTATGTTGCAGTTGCAAACAAGTGACAAAATCGGAAAAACAAAGATGGCAGAATATCTTACAAGTGGTTTTACAAAAAGTATTTTTCTAAAATTTATACGGAAACTCAAAAAACTAAAGTAGATAAAGCTATTTGTATAAGAAGAAATAGGCAGAATCAATCTACCCAATTTCAAAACTGTGGCATTTGCATTGGAATAAACACAGATACTAATGGGACAGAACAGAGAACCTAGAAATAGACCCACACAAATGTGCTAAAATAATTTAAAGGAAGAAAGACTTTCAACACATAGTACAGGACTGAAATAGATGGCTTATCGGCTTCCACTTACCACTGAAACAAGTTATCATAAAACTAATGGCTTAAAACAACACAATTTTATTATCTTACCATTCTGAAGGTCAGAAGTCTGAAATGAGTCTCCAGGTATCAGTAGGACTGCATTTCTTCTGGAGGCTCTATGAGAGAATTCATTTCCTTGCCTTTCCCAACTTCTAGAAGCCACCAGGATTTCCTGGCTTGTAGTGCCATTTCTCTATTTCAATGTCAGCAATATCAAGCCAGTTTTTCTCAGGCAGCCATCTCTTTGTTTCACCTTCTGCTTCCCTCTTCCACCTGTAAGGACCCTTATGATTAGTTTGGGCTCATCCCAAAATCCGGGATAAACTTTTCAGGCCTGCTGACTAGCACCCTTAATTTCACCTGCAACCTTAACTCAACTTTTGCCACATCCACTGGAATCAAGCATGGGTCATGGGCCTCATGGATGGGTGAAGGCACTATTCTTTCTACACAGATGTGTTAAACAGATTCAAATATCAGTAGCTACAAAATAACTCAGAAATGGAAAAATGGACCGGAAAATGCTACTCAGTAGCAGTCAGAAAATCAAGATATGGAATATATAAGAGTTTAAGACATGGACAATAAAATTCAGAATCCTGGAAGAAAAGAAAAAAGAAAGAATTTTCTGATTTTTCTACCAGAGGTTTCATGTAAGGTAAACTGGAAGGATTAGCATCTGTAGCTCTTCGTTTTGTTTGCACATTGTATCTTATCAATGCTATGTTTGCGAAGTTTCACTTTTGAATTGTGAAAATACTTCTCTTTTCTCAGAAGGCAGCCTTTGCTAGGAATTTAATTATTCATGAGCATGTGATCACACGATTGAATTTACTTTAATATAAACAACTCAACTTTTTACATCGTTCTGCCTTATGTAGGCCATTCCCATTTAAAACGTTTAAAAAACATTTTATTGGAGTAATTTATTAGTTTATGAAAAAAGTCCTTAACAAGTTATTACAGCATAACGTATAGAATATAAAAATGGACTGTGCCAGAACAGATTTAAGGACAGGAAGAACAGCTTAGATTTTAAAAAGTATAAATCAAAGTATGTGTGTGCTCTGTTGTAAAAAGTTGAATCACTTTCATCCAGTTTTCCTCTGGGAACACGTGTCACATTTTAACAAGTTTCTCAGTGGAGCCCAGGCGGTGCCTCTGGTTGCGAGGGTGCTGGGCTGGCACTTTTAGGGGGACGGGTCTGGGCTCGCGGCCGTGGCGGCCGTGGCGGAGCTGGCGCGACGAGTTCCCAAGTGTGTCACCCCTGGGAGAACTCTCGGGCCTGCCCCCTTGTGCCTACGCCAAGGGTTGGCCGCTAGGCTCCCGCGGGGACTGCCCCTTGGGGTTGCCCGAGGCCACTCTCTGACTCTTCTGCTCCGGCTTCCCACGTCTGCTCCAGAGCGCGCCCCCAAGGGTGGCGGTGCGCCCCCGCACGGCCCGGGCCTCCCAGAGCAGCCAGCCTAGCTCTGGGGCGCGGCCGCCGGGGCCCACCCGACCAGTTCCCGTTCCGGGCTGGCGTGGCGGCCGCCTTGCTCAACCGATCGCCCCCTGCGGGCGCCGCGCACTCGGGGACCTCGGCGGCCCCCGGCCCCCGTACCCGGCTCGCGCGCTCGGGACACGCCTGGCTCTGACGGCGCCTCCCGCCGCTGCGAGGTCCGCACACCGGATCGCCAAGTAAGTAGCGGCGACGCGGGGGGAGGCAGGGAGAACGGCGCGGGGCGCAGACATTTTGGGGGTCGCGGGTGCCGCAAGCCAGGAGGTGCCGGGGGGCGCGATCCTGCGTGCCAAGCGACATGCAAACTGCTCTAGAAGAGATCGATGGAACAGGGCGGAGAAATCCAGGAGTTTCGAGAAGTGAAGCGAAAGTTCAGAGGGATGATCTTAAGCGCCAGCGGAATCGGAGTCGGTTCTGCGGCAGACAGGGGTCGAAGGCAGGGCCTCTCAATCCCGCCGGCTCATTGGAATCGTCTGGGGGCACCTGCAAAATCCAGAGGACCAGGCCGCACCTCAGACCAGTTCTACGGGAATGCCTGGGCTGGATCCAGGCCTCTGTCTTGCTTCAACTCCCCGTGATTCCGGTGCGCAGCCGGGACGGGAACCAGACATCCAAGCGTGGCTGCCGAAAGAGGCTGAAAGGTAGGCGGGAGCCTCGATGGAGTCCAGCTTGCAGGCCGTCTGTTCCCAGAGTCCGCGAGGACTGGGAATTGGGTGGCAGACAGGGAAGGAGGCAGTGTTGGCAGAGTGGCCCTCACTGGGCGTTCAGAAGAGCCTGGGCTAGTCACACGGACTTCTGGCACTTGCTGGGAGACACAGGAATGCTGGATTCCCGATTCCCTTTGCTTCTGTGCTCCAGGAAATGCCTCCATTGTTGGCATTAGAAATGAAGTTGGGGAAGTCCAGTAAATCCATGGCTTTGACAAGTTCTGGGGTTTCTGCTTTAAGGAGAAAACCATGTGTGCCTTCCCCAGGATTGGGTTTGTGTCTTCTTCCAAAAGCCCTTTACCTTGTCAGAACAGTGACTCTCCCCTGGATCTTACAGAGGGCTGGCTGGATTTCACAGGAGGGATCCCCTCTCACCCTGAGGTGGATGCTAAGGACAGGTAGATACAATTCCAGGAAGCAGCTGAAGGAGAGACAGACTTCTGCATATGAAGGACAGATAAAGAAGACAGATGTAGAATAGCCAGGAGGTAGTTCATAAGAGAGGACTTGCAAAGGGTCTAAGAAGAGTAGGTTTTGTTTTTGTGAAACGGAGGAAAAACATCAAGCTTTAGACCCCAAATGATGTCGATCACTTCTGTGATATGTCTGTGGACAAGTTTATTTGATCTCTCTGAACCCCTGTTCTTTTTTCCTGTAAAATGTGGATAAAAATAGTGATAGTAGCTCTCTCCAGGCTGTTTTGAGGTCTGGAATCTGAGGCCACCAGCTTCTCCCCGCAGATGGCTTATTACTGGCTTTAGAATACAGTGGTACTCCATGTGATAGGAATGAATTTCTTGACAAAAGAAAGCAGTCCTTAATCTTGAAACTTCCTCCACCCTACTGCCACATACTTCAAAAATGGGCTCCCAAGAAAGCGGACTCTCTTGGGGTCTCAAAATGAATGTGGGGACACACACACACACACACACACACACACACACACACACACGGTTCTTGCTGGTGGCAGCATCCTCAAGCCATTCCCAGACTATTCCTGTTTTTGAACTGACTTTTGACCTTGAGACAATGAATCCTCCTTGGATGACCAAGAAAAGTCAGGAATTTGGGGAAGGGAGGACCCATATCCTACAATTGTCAGGACGCCTAGTGGCAGATGAACGCTTCATCCTGGTCCCTACTCTGAGTTTCACTGACGATCACTGTGATAGTAACAGCAGCACTGCTTAGATTAGACATTAGCAATATAAACAGTGAGGCAGGGTAGGTATAAAGATCAAGTGTCTTTACACTGTATGTGCAATTGCTGATATTTGCTTAAACAAGAATATCAAATCTTTGTCTCTTAAACAAAAAAAAAGAGTTCAACATTTCTTCAGAATCTCAGATATAAACCTAGGATTTGAGATTGAAGTTATCAATGTCTTCTCCAATTCTTCTTTAGGAGGTACATTTGAGATGAGAAGAAATTAGAAAAGCTAAAATGTGTGCTTGTGTAGAATTTTTGTTGTGCAAAAGCTGTGGGTATTTTATAAGTTTCTAAAAGTCCAGTTTTCTCTTCTCTTCTGGGCAGTCAGTTGTAGCTCACAGGAAGGACTTCCTTCCATCCCTCCGCAGTTTGAAATTGCTTCTAGAAAAAATCTTCGGTGCATTAAATACTCATTGAAGGAATTAATTTTTTTCTAAACTTGTGTTACTCTTAATTAAAATCAATGAGGTACTCCCATTTTGCTGAGTAGACATTTCCTCTAAATTTAAGAAAACTATAATCTAGAGGATTAATAAATAGGTTGACATAAGGGCCAGGTAATTGCCAAGTGAGCACCAACCACATTAGTACCAGGTTTGGTAGGTTAATATTTTCATACAACATGAAAGTGACCGCTACGGTATCTTTGTTTTGGTGTGTTGACATTTGCCGTTCTCAGTATTATTCCCACCATCCAGGTTGGGAGCAGGACAGAGCTGAGAGGATAGAGTAAGTTGGTAGATATTTTCAGGACCACCTGTCACTGGGCAGGGCAGTTGTATAATGCTAAGGATAATCCCTCTGGGGGAGAAGAATTGGGAGCACATGATAATTTATTTGAGGAAATATTTCTGCTGTTCTAATACCCAAAAGATAAAAGTCAAATGACTGAAAACTAACTGTGCTTTGTTTTAACATACTCCCCAATCTCTGTCTTTATCCCAAACCAACCCTTCTAAAAGGAATGGGCTGGGGCCTCCCCGGTGGCGCAGCAGTTGAGCGCTGGGTTGGGAAGCTGCCCGCAGCTTCTGCAGCGCCGGTTCGGTCCCCGGCTGCTCCCCGGCCACCGGAGGAGGGTCCCGCATGGTGCGGAGACCTCCCCTGCCGCCCGCTGCTCCCCTCAGCAGTGTACTTCGGTCCTTCTGCCTGCTCTGCTCCCCGCTCTGGCCCTGGTGAATTCTCTCACCCTCCCGTGCTTCTGACCGTACCCAGTGCTTGTATAAATAAATAAATAAATCTTAAAAAAATATATAAATAAATAAAAGGAATGGGCTGGAAAACTAGGTTTTTCTTTGGGAATTTCCTAGCCTGTTAAAATTCAAGACAATGGGCTCCTTCATGGGAAAAAAAAAAAAAAAAAAAAGGTCATTACTGGGCTCCATTTAACAAGGCCAGTGTTTTACATTTAATATCAATTCAGGCATATTGGTGATTTCGCATGGAAATACGAGATTTATCACAAGTAAATTGGCAAGACTAAGTGAAAGAGACCACAGGTTTTGTTGTCTGAACTGGGATCAAAACCCTACTTTGTTCCTTCATTCGCACTGTAACCTTGGCCAAGATATATAACATCATTATAATAATTTTTTTCCTTATAGAATGTTTCTGAGTATTTGATGAGATAATTCATGTAAAGTACTTAGCACACCAGCCAGGCTTTCATTTTAAATGGTAATTACAGGAGTCCCCCTAATCCATGGGGATGCGTTCCAAGATCCCCAGTGGCTTCCTGAAACCTATATATACACTGTTTTTTCCCATACATACATACCTATGGTAACATTTAATTTATTAATTAGGCAGAGTAAGAGATTAACAATATAAATGTTAACAATATAAATAAAAATTAAAAATAGAATAATTATAATAATATACTGTAATAAAGGTATGTGAATGTGGTATACCTCTCCCTCTAAATATCTTATTTTACATATTATTTTCAGACTGTAATTGACTGTTGGTAATGTAACTATGAAACTTGAAACCATGGGTAGGGGGGGTACTATATTATGATAGTGATTATAGTTATTTCCTGCCTTTGAAAGTGATAATCTTGCCACTTCCTAGCTATTGACTTTGGATGAGGTATATCTGAGCCTCAGTTTTTGTATCTGTAAAATGGGCATGACTAGACCATTGGTTTGAAGTTAGATTAAATGAAATGGTGCGTCTGATCTGGAAGTCTCTAAATAATAATAGCAGCCACACTTACTATATGCCACACTGAGCTTAAGTCATTAAGTTTGTTTTGGTTTCAGCCCATTTAATCTTCCAGAAACCCTAGGCAGTAGTTCTCATTCCCCCAACTGCCCACGCCCCATGAGAGAACTGAGGGTCCATGAGAATAACTAAAATGAACAGATGGTGAATACAGCTCCTAGAACTGAAGCATGGTCCTGCTTGGTGACTACAAAACCAGCCTCAGTGACAGCCCCTCCCTCTCTGCTTACACCCGCCCCCATCCCCATCTCCATGTTCTGTAAATGACTAGCAGATATACTTATATCTTTGTAGAACTGTATTTCTGGACACAGGACACCAGCATCTAAGGAACTGCCTGCTTATGAAATGAAAGTGAGAACTCTCCCTCCACCAGATTTTTAACATTTGTTGATCTAGTATCCACTGGTTGGGAGCAATCCCATTGCTGATATTGATTAATGTTATTAATGTGAATTGCAATGTTTATTTTGAGATAAATATCATCTCGGGCACTGAAATTGTTAACCTGGGTGTAATAAAACATACCTTTACCCAGACAGGTGTGCAGGTTATTTGGGAAGCAGAAGCCCAGCCTGGAATTTCCCAGGATGCGGTTCAAGTGGGGATGTCATTATTTGAACTACATCTCACTGGAGGTTCAGTGGCCTGTTCCAGTAACTCTACCTTTAAAAAAAATTGCTTATCTGTCTTCCCTCTTATTACCCCAGCAGCTTTTGCCTTCTCTAAGAGCTCCAGTGATCTTCCAAAGGGCTTGGGCCAATGGAACACAGGGCCTCATGAAAGCAAATTCTCCACTGGGTGGTTTGTGGATGGTTCGCATCGCTGGTAGTGAGGTGACAGTTATATTTCTGGCTTCCATGGCTGTGAAGTGCTTTGCTGCCTCCCCAGCCAGGTGTTGAAGGCTATTAGGAAGTTGTTTGTAATTCCTGGCTCTTCTTGGCTCTCTCTGGAGCCATCCAGGCCCCTGTGTGCTGCTGCTCGGGAGAGCTTGGCATCTTCTCTATCTCTTACCACCCTTCATGGTCACCTCACATATGTCCCAGGGACCGTCCAGCCAAACTCTGGGCTATTTTGCCTCCCAGATCATGGTTGACAGTAGATACACATTCAAGTGGGTGAGCAGAAGTCTCGAGCCAAGCGTTTTGGCCTGCAGTCAGCAGAGAACTTAATTACTCAACGGTCAAGTTTCAACTAACAGTCTCTGAGGTGACAAGTGCATGTTGTTCTTGTGGAGTGCCTTTCATTTGAGAAGGCGTGGCCTCTTTCTGAGCTGCGATATACTCCCACTTCCCCATCTGCACTTCTGTAGCACTTTCTTCCGTGAGCACTTAACTCTGGGTTCTGATCCAAGGTTCCCTGTCTTCTGCTGGCTTTCGTTATTAAGATGTTTGCATTCAGCGGCCCCTCAGAGATGAATACCAAGCAGGGTGTTTTAGGAAGTTTGTTTTTCATAGTCTGGGTAACACCAGGAAAATGGCAATCACAAAGTCCCATGTGG